TTTGATAGTTAGAACATGTATTTTGGAGAATATGAAGTATGTCATTTATTGTTATGTACAAGTTACATAAATAAAATAAATATTTCCATAATTATCTTTTCTAGATGAAAGAAGCAGATGAGGGCACAGGATCTGGAGGTGGGCCCACAAAGTCAATACGAAAAAGAAGAGTGCGGAAGGACTGAAATACATTCAAGTATTCTTAATGCCTGAGAGAGAGTTGACATGCTAAAATTAGTATGCCAGGACTGACCTTGAATCAATCTGCATGTCCTGTTTCTAAAAATCTAGCAAAGTTATTCTTTCAGGTATTTATTTTAGTCTTTTCAGGGGGAAAAAGGCATCTTTGAAGTTACCTGGTCTTTGAATTTAACATAAAAGTGGCACATTACATATCAGATTTAAGAGATTAATAACATTAGATGTTACAGTTTTAATAGTTTGAAGATAGTTTTGGTTCATACAGAGCAAAATTATATGTAGCAACTTCACTGCTATGGGAAAAATCAGTTATTGGAATTTCCACTCAAATGGCTATACAAGAAGAGAACTGGTAGTTTTATAATACAAATAAGAGTGTGTTCTGTTGTACAGAGCTAAAGGCAATAAAGTTTCTGTATGGTTGTTTGATTCCATCAGCAATTGAAAGTGTTGTGTGTGACCCACATTTACCTAGTTTAAGCTTTCTGGTCAGTTGTTCACTTAAATTAGATTCCTTTAAAGAGGTGCTTTGTTGACAAACTTGTCAACAAAACAAATGTCTGTGTGTCACTTAGAGAATCACTGGATAATATTGCAGCATATTTTACATTTAAATACAAAGATAATAGGTTTATCAAAACAAAATGGTGTACAGATTTTTTCAAACTCTTATAGTAATTATATGCCAGAGTGTCTTAACCCATTCACAAAATTGCTTGTGTCTATATTGCTCTTGAAAATAAAATCTAAATATTTTTCTTCTTTAAATTATACATACTCTTTCACATATAATTATTGGGGAGGCTTTGAATTATTCTTTATGAGATCCTGATAGCTAACATAAATTTATCATGCTTTACGTTTTTATCCTGCTTCTCCCTGACAGATTCAAATCTATTTTAGGCCTCTCCTCTAGCAGCAGAGCTGCCCTTGTGGTGCCTTTCCTCTTGTTAGAATAGTTACCAAATGTCCCTGAAGTACCTTATAGTGGAACTGTGTCGTTTCATTTAAAATATCACATTAAACAACTTTTTATGTTTAAGTAACAGGTGTGGACCCATTAGAAGGTGATTTACATGTGAGACGGAAAACTACTTGACTACTAAGTATCTAGCAAACTTCATATTAGTTGGGTGAGATTTTAGATTCCTTCTCAGACCCCACATTTTTATAAACCCCACCCAAGTTCCCATACAACTCCCTCCCACAGGTACATTTAGAACTTATGTATAGGGAAAGTAAGTCCCTAGTTCCCTCCATTTACTAAAGGAAGCTGAGCACAGCTGGTGAAACTATTCACTCCTTATTTCAGTGAATGAATTGAAAATGAAAGTTAAGTGCTCTCCTTCTCTGCTATATCCTGACTTTCACAAACTGGTGGTGAAACAATTAGGCATAATTTATATTTATTTCCTACTAGCTAAACTCAATACATCTGGCAAGGACTTTCTCGTTTGCTTTGAACTAGACATACGAATAATTCTAGAGAAGAGTTTCTCAAATAGCTATTTCAGCAATAAATTCTTTCTGAAAACTTTGCCTTACAAACATCTAGTAAATTTTTTTTTTCTAAAGACTGGCTAAAACTGCTTTGACTCTCTTTTTGGTTGCAGATTCATTTTAATTTGAATGTTTGGTTAAACCCTATGAGTTTGCAGTGGTAAGATTTGAGCAACCAACTTGCCAAGTCAGTGCTCATTACTGTGCATGCTCCCCTCTGTAGATGTACCAGGGCTGATAGGTTTAACCCAAACTAACACTTAGAAATAACGTATGAGATCTATGCAGTAGACAAGGCAGAGTCTAATAATCCAGTGCCTTTTTCCTTTTATTACTCTCATCTGACTTTGAATAACGTAAATGTTATTTTCTCTAATAAAGGAGAATAAATACATTTCACTTAAAAGGTTTTTTTTGTTTGTTTGTTTTTGAGGCTTTTTAACTTTACCAAGTTAAAGTAACTTTGCTTCTCCTGAAAATGTTTTTCTTCTAGCCTTGCATCCAGTAATCACTTCTGTAGGGAGGCATAAATAATGTCAGTTGAATAATATGGGTCTTTTTGAAGTGTTAGTCACCATTTGGAGGAGACACAGGTTAGAACAGTTTATATGTTAAAATGAATTAGTAGTAATTGATTTACCATAAACATGTGGAATTCTAGTCCAAAGTGTTTATTCAATGTAGACTATGCAGAATGGCCGAATCATAAGTATATTAAAGGCATTTCTGAAAGGGTTTTTTTTTTTTTGGTTCTCTTTTCAGTTTTGTTTATGTTTTAACTTCAGTAGGATTTACAGATGAAATATCAGCTGGCTAAAATAACCGCTTAAATCCTTTACAGAAATGACCAAAACATAGTGGTATTACTTCATAAATTTTAGTAATTTCTTCTCAGAATATATAGCTCCCATGCATTTCCATAATATGACTGCTGTTAAAAAGTTTTGGAAATAGAAGTACCCCTACTCTGACAAGTCAAATGGGGCCAGTTGGTGGAAAAGAAGATGCATTTGGAAACATATTTGGAGTTTCTCTTTGGAGATCCAAATGCACAGAAGAGTGAAAGCTAAGGGCAGTTTTGGAGAAGATGGGCAATGGCACAATAGGAAGATTATCTTTTAACATCGAATGTATAATGTCTTATCACATTTTGTGTTTGATGAATGAATAAAAAATATAATACTCTTTGTAAGATTGGGAGTTTTCAAGTTTTAGTAACAGATACTTGACAAACCATTTATAAATAAGGTATAAAATTAAAGCAATAAAATACATTAAAAATTGATTATAATGTATTACTTTACCTTCTGTCACCATTCTCAAAACTCTGCTTCATTATAAAGTAAATGATATCCTGGGGTCAACAAGTCTTTGTTATATATACCTTTTTAAATACCATTAATATATAGTGAAATAAACTGTAGCTACAAGGAAATTAAATAATTCTCTTCTAATTCTTAATATCCTGTGTAATTACAGTCTCTGTACTTTCATGATTTGCAAGCGATTAAGAATTAATCTCTGATGCTCACTGGTAAAAATTTTTGGTTGTGTTGGTATTGAAGTATTTCATGATAACCACCAGAGGGCATTACGAAATAAAAAAGTATTAGGCAAAGTAAAGAAAGACTTTATTTACATTCTAAAGAATTAAGATCCATTTCGCTCTGCTTTGGACCACAAAATTAATTTTAGATTGTACAATTCATGTCTCATTTAGATCAGAGGGAAGTGTAATGGACAGGACTAAAGATGCAACATTATTAACTAGTTGAAAGTAATGCTCATGAGTTTGGTTGCTTTTCTATAAAAATCCAAAAATCTCTGGAAAGTGGAAATATTTTTTAAAAATCATTTTATCACTAAAACTCATTTGGTAGTCACACCTGATTTCCTAGACAGACTTTTATAAATACTGTGTAGCCTGTCTTCATCCCACTTAGTATTAATGCTGATAGACTTGGCTGAGAAATGTTAATAATGTATTTGATTCCAGGTGCCCCTCAAAACCATATCAGCGTATGAGCCATAAATACTTTATAAAAAATCTGAAAAATGCCAAATTTGAAACATTTGCCCTACTACTTCCACATAAGTGAATGCTGTCTGTAGTAACTGATATAAGTCCCGTCCAAAGGGGATATAAAGAAGACAATGGTAGTGTCAGCATTGAAGGAAGTCCTCTCCTGGAGAAAAGGGGTAGCTCAATTTGTTGAGGCTGCTATAACAAAATACCATAGACTGGGGTAGCTTATAAATACCAGACACTTGTTTCTCACAGTTCTGAAGGCAGGGTGTAAGATCAGGGTGCCAGCAGAGCTGGGTTCTGGTGAAGATTCTCTTCCAGGATGCCGACTGCTATCTTCTTGCTATGTCCACTAGTCTTTCTGGCACTGAATACCATTTATGAGGGTTCCATCCCTGATAATTATAACCTATGGCACAACTTCCTAATACCATCACATTGCATTAAAAGCTGCATCTAAACTGACAGGCCTTCACAGACATCCTGGCTTTTGAGCTGAATCAATAACTGGATAGAGGAAGATTTGAGTACTTTCTATATGAAAAAGTTGTGCAGATACTTAGTAGCAAGAGACAGGCTAAGCTGCTAGTAGCAACCAAAATCCTTTATCTGTTTCCATTTTAATAAATTTGTAGCTAGGCAGTTTCCCAGCCACAGCTCTGTCTAGAAGTAATTAAGTCTCCACATGATGGGAATGCAAAAAGAAATGGGTCATTTCAAGGCCCAGCCCATAAAAACCTGACCTTTGTGCACATTTTTTTTTTCCAAATCAGAATCATATGTGAAGTGACTTAAGAATCCATGAATGAAATGGTAGAGCCAACCTTAACCTAATAAGTGTGAATATTTGTGTGAGGCGCAAAACCTGCTAGCCTGTAATGCTCTCACTTCTGAACCACTGTTGGGAGAGAAGCTTCTGTATCATTCTTTATCATTGGGTCTGTTTGTTATAGGAGCTTACCTAACTTAAAAAATTTAACTGCCTTTCCCCTAGAGAGAGATCTTGGATTCTTTCAACAATTTTGCTTCTATTTTTTAAAACTAATGTATAATGTCCATTAACAAATACATCTCCCCAAACATTCAGTAACCAGGTACTTACTATCTGTAATTTACCCTGTGGAGCCACCCTGAATAGACCATATATCTATTATACCCCATTCATTTAAGCAATTGTATCAAAATACACACCATCTCTGAAATAGCTTTTTATTAAACAGCAAAGCAGAACTGTAACACAATTTTAAATATCTGTAAATTAGGTCACAAAAGGGATGCAAAATGTTTGCAGTTTAATTATATATTCATACAGCTAAAGTCACATATCAAATCTTACACTAATACATAAGATTATTTCATGATTAAAAGTAGTCCAAATCTAATAATCATAAGCTATATTAGTGGGTCTCTTTTCCTATTATCTTAATATTATTTCCAATACTGATTCCCTTACCAAATAAACTAAAAACTAAATTTTAAAAAATTTTAAAGAATGACTAAACCTCTGCAAACTAAATGGCAGAATTTACAGAAAATTCTGGGAGAATAAGTGAGCTAAAATACTAAGATTAAAATTACCATTATTGTACATGTATACTCTACCATGTGTTCATGATTCTGTTACTAATAAATTCTCAAAGAATTTTGCAAGAGTTGATCTATTGGGTAAATGTCCTTGAGACCAAATGATAACTGGTCTCCCTATGTAGCTTACATAAAGTTATTCAAACTTAATGCACTTCCATATCTATCTTTTGTCTGCCAAAAGTCTATTCTGCCAGAGAGAACACAAATCTGGAGTGAAAACATTTGGAGTAGTATTTACCAAGTTCTTTCCTGCCCATTTCTATTTTTTCTCAAGATAGGTCTATCTTGAACGTACATACATGACCAGAACTCCTATCTTTTCAGGTCCCAAGTGGGTTATTTTGTGCAAAAGGAAGTTTTAAACAAATCTTCCCAGTATGAGACCAATTGCTTATAGAGAAACCATCAATCCTATCTTATTATTAAATACCACACAGGACAAGCCCTAGCTAAGACAGTATCTTATTTTGGTTAAGTTTCAACAATTAGAGTCATGTTACTCTCATCAGTGATTAACTATTAAAATTACTTTTACAAATGTGAAATTTTTTTTCCTTAGGGGAAGGGAAATGGGAAGGAAGAGGCAAATGGAGAAGAGGCACAAGATGGTGGACAGGGTACATAAAGCTGTGCATTCAGTACATGATTTTGGTCACTTTTTCACAACATGGTGGTTATTTTCGTATATATTTTACTAAGCCTATATAATAAAAGACAGTGCTAAACCTATATATCAAAGCAAATTTGATAAAACATTCATCTTCAAGTCTCATAAATATATGCAGTTCTAATTATAAAGTCTCTACAATACATTTGCACATTTTCATAGACTAACATAATACACAAACTCTCTTGTTATGCAGTTAATTTTGCCTAGATCTGCCATTATCTTCATAAATATTCAATGAAGCCACAAACAAAGGTACTGAAACTTTTGAAATCTATCCAAGTTTTAAAGGGGGAAAAAAAAAAACAAAAACTGGTCAGCAGCAATTCCTTAAAACAGAAGGGAAACCAATCCCTTACTTTCTTTTGCTTTTTGTGTCAGTTGTTTGAAAAACACTAGAAGCAGACATGAGGTTTTCTATATATTGTCCAAGAACTTGGTTTTCTGATTTTAGCTTCAGATTTTCTTCTTTAACTGCATCTACTCTTGCAGAGAGATCTATTTAAAGAAAAAAATGGCCATTATCAATAAAATGATGCTAATGACTTCCTATTACAAAATGCTAAAGATTCATTATTAAAAGCAAGATCAAAGTGAGGGTATAGCTCAGAGGCAGAGTATTTGTTCAGCACACCCTAGGCTCTGGGTTCAGTCCACAGCAGGGCAAAAAAGATATCAGATTATTTGTTTAAGGCAAATAAAGATGAAACTATGTCTTTACTAGAAATATTTAAGATATGTAATAATATAACTGAATTCATACACTGGATATAGGAAGTCTGTTTCCAAGCCAGAAATCATTTTGTATTTTCACATTAGCAAAAAATTCAAAAAGATGTGAGTTCTCATGATAAAATTTAACAAATAGTTACTGGGTGCCCCCAAATAGCCAAGCACTGTTCTAGAAACAACAGCAGAAGGGTCCATGTGGATACATATGCACCAGGGGACACAGTGAAGATCAGGAGCAAACAATCAAATATATAGAATGTCACACAGTTAAGAGTTGGACTGGAGAAAAAGCAAGAAAGGCAAGGGTCATAAGAAGCAGTTGAGAAGTTGCTTTTCAGGGTTAACTATTTTGTATTTTGGTAAAGGGAATTTGAATGGAAACTTAAAGGAAATGCCAGAATGAGCCATACAGATACGCAACTAAGGGAAGAAGACTGAGGGAAACAGTTACTTCTCCAAGTAGGGGAGCTTGGCATTTTGAAGAACAGGAAGGATCCTAGATAGAGATGGAACATATGAGGCAGAGAGAATAACATGACTCTAAAGGTAACCGGGAAGTCACAGACATTGGCTGTTGTTAATTCTGTCAAGTGGGAAGCCAATGGAAGGTTCCAAGTGACAAAGTCTGTACAATCAAGTGCCAAGGGTCGGGGGAGACCCTCATACATTAAACACCAAAAGATGGTTCAGTGGTAGTTATTAATTTATGCAATGCATTTAAAAAGTGAAAAAAATCAGATCATTTTCCTTTTAATTTCTGAGGTTAATATGACATGTTCACTTTACTGTAAGCTTTATTAAATGTGGACTTAGTTACACATTGCCAGGACTTGAAAAGAATTCTCATGTTAAACAGCATCATGTTGGACATTAAAGGGAAACAGAATGTTTGATGTCCCTTGAAGCGTATATGTTCTTTACAACCACCAGCCAAAGCTACTGGCAGGAGGAAGGAAAAAAACTATTAAAATGGACTTTGGTTTATGCTTTTTCAAATTATTCACACTAACAACTTAGCAACGTAAACGCTTAAAATTTCAATTAAGCAGATATCATTCATGAAAATTACAAAATGCAAGCTAACCTTCAAGTGTGTGTTGAAGTTCCAACACTTGATTAATAAGTCGTGTTTTTTCTTCAAGTTCCACCTGATTTTCAGCATCAACTGCTGTAATGAGAAGGTTCACATTTATTATTCATTAACATTAGATATCATTTGTTTAGTGTAGCACTTAAAAATCTACAAAACATTTTCTATTCCTTATCTCAACTGACTTGTACAAGAGCCCACAAAGTAAAAAGTTAAATCCCTTCAATGCAGTTGAGGACACCAAGGTGAAAGTGAAAAATGATTTGCCAACTTCTCAGTTAAAGTTAGATTATTTCTACAACCAAATGGGATATAAATAAGTAAATTAGCCAAGACCCAAACCTTCTTAAATTGTTTCTCTGCTCTTCCCATTGTTTAATAAAGCAAAAGCAACCAACGAAACAACAACAAACCCCAGAAACACATAAAAAAGCAAAGGAAGAACACACCATCCATATCAGCACTCATCATCTTGGGTAAAAAACTTTTAGATTTTCGATGTAAAATTCTTGATGAATGATCTACAATAAGAAAAAGAAACATGAACACAATAAAATATAAGTTTATTTTTAAAAAGATGAAGACAGTCAAATATAGTTTACTGTTTCTAAGAAAAAAATAAACTCCCACAGGTAAATAAAAGAATACAGACAGATTAAAAAGAAAGTATTAAGGAGAGAAAATATTGAGCTTCTTGGTAATCAAAAGAATTTTTTTTTTTTTCTTTTTGGACGGCGGGTTAGGGGGTTGATAGGGATTGAACCCAGGGCCTTATGCTTCCGAGGCAAGCACTCTACCAACTAAGTTACATCCCCAGCCCAAAGAAATTCATTTTTAAAAGGTAAGATTAATGATGAAATGATAAAATATGAAAATACTGAACACAGGCTTAAATGTGCAATCTTTTGAGGAATCAGAATAATAATAAACAAGATTCATAAAGACATTTAGAACCTTTTTTATGAAATAATTTACTTTTAGGAGCTCATCCTAAAGACAATTACAAAGAAGGAAAAATTATACACATAAAAATATTTACTTCAATCTTATTTACAACCCAGTATATCAGAAACAATGTAACTAGTAAATTACACTTGCAATTTATAATGGAATGGCTACTAAAAATAATTATGATTACTAAAATAATATGAAAAAATGTTCACAAAATTATATATTCACTAATGTAAATTACATAAAATACACAAATATAAATAAAGAAACAGAAAAATGAAAAAAAGCTCTTACAATTAGGGATTATAGCAAAGAAGAAGACAAATCTTTTTCAAAATATTCTTCATTAAATACTGTTTCACATATGTTGCTTAACTTTTTTTGCACATGATACTAAAGAAAAATATTAGATATCCGAAACACTAATACGGAAGACATTTTAAAAATCCAATTTCACCTGGTTATGGTTAAACCAAAACAGATTAATCAGGATGTAGATTATTAATAAGAAAATGAATAGTAACATTTCATTATTTTAATAAAAACCTCCAAAACATTAAAGCACAAAATTTCTATGAAACATGTTCTGCTCTATTAATAACCATTTCACATACAGTATACTCAAGTTTTTAATGCTACCAGAATATTAATGAAAATAGATTTCTTTGTAACCAACCTGCACTGAAGCAACCTAGACCTATTTTGTCAATGTTCCTCTTTCAACAAGTATTTACTGAATACTAATATACCCAAGGCATTGTTAGGTCTCCATATGCTAAGCAGTAGAACCCAGACCTACTGAACAAAGATGCATGCATACCAAAATTAGAATCACAATCAATAGAAATCAGTGTACTATTTATTATTCCCTCACATCAATTAATACAATTGTGTTATACTTCAGTTATTAGCATGAACATGGAAACAATGTCCAGTGTACAAATCTATAAACTACTTCTTGAGTAAGACACCAGTCTAAAAAAGTGAATAAACATCCTTTTCATAACATTATTAAAGGACCACAATCAACTCAATGATGCATAAAAAACCTATTCTGAGTCTTACTGCATCTTTCCATTTACCCAAACAGCACTTGGCAGGTACTTTCTTCTACCTTATGTTTTTTTTGAGACAAGTTCTCTCACTAAGTTGCCCAGGCTGGTTTTGAACTCAACAGTCTTCCTGCCTCAGCCTCTCAGATGGCTGAGCACAGGGCACATATCATTGCACTTGGCCTTTTCCACCTGTTTTTTATATGGTTTTAGTTTTCAGGGTCTCTGCACTTCGGAGAGGTATATATACATCTACCTAAATTCAAATAGAATGAGTACCAAATTTTTTTTCAAAAATTCTTTTTAATGCTATTCAATCTATTGTAGTTCTGAAGACCATACTTCAAAAATTATTCCTTACCAATTGTCTTTTTTGATTTTCTAATTCACTTAGAATTGTAAGCATTTCTTGGGTACAACATGTGAAATATATGTAAATTGTGTAATGACTAAATCTAGCTAATTAATGTGCATTTCCTCACAGAGGTCTTTTCTGTGGTAGGAACACTTAACATCACTCTTAAAATGAAAACTTGATTAAATACCTTCCTGAGAGAAGAGCACACTTCTAACAAATCACTAGTCACCCTCACTTTTAATACTGTTTCAGCACTGAACTGGCTGGGATAAGTCTGGCAGAGGTGGGAAGCAACAGCTGACACAGCAGGCCATCTGGGAGTACTGGGCAACAGCGAACTGCCAATCCAGCTGTGGCCCTTATAGAGAGAAAAATAACAGGGCTTCAAATTTCAAATGTCCATTGTTTTTAAGAATATAAGTAAGAGCAGAATTTCCATGACTGCTGAGAAAAGTTACAAGAGATACAAGCACCAGGTAACCAATATTCTGATTTTGAAATCAGACATCATACAGGAATGGAGTATTCTTCTCTGCGTATATTTCAATAAAATATTAAAATTAAAGTAAAAAGCCTTCTACAAAAGCACAAGTGTTCCATATTGACCACAGGAAGTAAAGAAAAAGTATAGTTTCTGCAATTTTGCATCATACAATCCAAACAACAGAAAGTCTATACATGACTTCTCAATGGTTTGACTTCATCTGAAAAAGTGAAAGGGAAAAAAGTCAGAAAAGCAGAGTCAAGAGGGCTTATTAGAGGGTAAATTCCTCTTACAAACATATTCATGGCTGAGGGGGCAGGGGTGCAGAAGTAGTGCCACAGGACAGTGCTCCAGGACATACCTCACAATCCCAAAGGTCACTATTCACATCACAGTCTTGTTTGGCCCATGACCTGGGCAATACACTGCAGAGCCTGCTGGATTGTATGTGGTGTCCCTATGCAAAGGGTATTAGTTTTAATAAAGTGAACCACAGCATTATTCATTGCCTTTTTACAACAATAAAAAGTAGCATTTTTTTTGTGATGTGATTAAAAAGAATGGCCTCAAAATGCTATTACTGAGTGGTCTTTCAGTAGGTTTAAAGCAATAAACAGATTTATTTTACATATATGATCAAAAGATTAGTTCTTTATGTCAAAGTATTTTAGTCTATTTTCTTTCAATACAGGATCAATTCTCAAACTTCACAATGTCTACATTGGTACTGAACTACATCCTAATACAATATTGCAATTTTTCAACTATAAAATCCTTTTTTATCTATAGTTGCCATCACATCAATATAATTCCACGCCAAATGTGCTCCTAAAAGTTTATTTTAAATTCCTGCTATAAACATAAATACAACTGAAGAGAATCCAGACCAAGGTGCAAATATGGAAATGAATTTGGGTGCTGAGGCTATTGTTTATCCTAAACCCATCTTAGCTCTGAAATGGACATGGCTGAGATTTCTCAGGTCAGATATTTTAAAACTCTTCTCAAAAATTACAGAAAATTATGGTGCCTATCTTTAGCCTTGGTTAGTAGAAGAGAAATTGAAAATTATTTTTGATAATTATCTTCATATTGGGAAGTAGAATGTAAGAAGAAAATAAGAATTATGAAATGTGGCAAGCATTAGGACAAGATCCACTTAAATAACTGTCTTTCCTATGCCCATGGATCAAATTATGACATACCACCATCTTACCAAATATTCCTTCTTGTATAGTACTCCTTCTAAAGAGAAAGTTTAGCATACAGATTAAGAATGTGGTTTTAAATGATCTGGATTCAAATCCTACCTCTGCTATTTATTATCTCTGGAAATAAAAGATAAGATCTCATACTGTTTTATTACCTGTAAAATGGAAATAACAAATATAAATGCAACTCTTGGTTTGTTGTGAGAATTTGATGAGTTGATACATATAAAACATATAATACTTCTGTACATAGTAGGCACTCAATAATTATTAGCTATTATCTTTACTTTTTAGCACTAGTTTGGGTCACAAAAAGAATTTTAGAAAAACTATCTGGTCCAGCTGCCCCATTTTACAAATAAAGAAACCAAGGTCAAAGACAACAATGGCTTACTGGAGATCACAACATTTATCCACAGAGTCTAGACTACAGCCAATATTCCAGTCTGTCTTTTTCTACCATTCCACCTCAACTATGCTCACATTTCAGATTTGAAATTTTGAGAAAACCTAATATTCCATTCAACTTCAACCATTCAACTTTCTGCATATAAAATTGATTTTCATCATCTGTCACCTATTTACTAGTGAACTGCTTAGATTTCAGCAGAATCTTTGTGCACTAACATGCTAAACACTTTATATCATTTCATCAAATCTACAGAAGGAAATTGCAATCTACAGATGTGGTTACTAAATGTATCTACCTTATGTTTAACAATATCTTAAGTCATTTATTTATTTTTGTACTGGAGAATGAACTCAGGGGCATTCAACCACTGAGCCACATCCCCAGCCCTACTTTGTATTTTATTTAGAGACAGGGTCTCACTGAGTTGCTTATCGCGTCGCTTTTGCTGAGGCTGGCTCGCAATCCTCCTGCCTCAGCCTCCCAAGACGCTGGGATTACAGGCGCGTGCCACCATGCCCTGCTGACAATGTCTATATCAAAAATCTGAACTCAAATCTACCTGTGCAGTTCCCTTTCCCACTGTGCACTGGAAGAAAACTTTATTATAATCTTAATCTAAGGTTGCCAAACATTTTGCAACCAACTTCTTGGGAGTTTCCTACTAAGCGGCTGAAGGTAAATCTCATTCACTTCAAGCTGCATCAGCTTCATCATGCTTTCTTCGGATCTGTTCAAGTTCTGCTAGTGACTGACTTTCTCAGGGTAGGTAATTCCAGTTTCAAATTCCACAAGATCAAGTAACTTTTCAGTGAGGACTGAATTAAGCTAGATTCCCCCGGGGAATAACAACAGCTAGCTATATTAAGCTTAATCAATAAGTAGTACTAAGATTTCTAGGTATAGTTTTTGGGTCCACAGGTATGGGCAGATATGGTACTGGGAACATCCAGAATCCTTAATATTGTTACATCACAGCCCGAGATTGATACATTGTAAAACAGAAGTCTTGCCTTTCAGGAATGTATGCTCTTGCTCCTGTCCAAATCTTACTCT